GATTGCTGTAAATATTTGGCGCTCAGTGTTTTTCCTAGAATAATAACACACTAATTTGCATAACAATACATAACAATATAATATGTTAAACACCTATTGTATTTATTATTATGCTAAATTTTGGTTGTCCAAAGTTGAGTTGGGGACCACTGCTCTATAATGCCCTGGGGAGAACTCTGGCGCAGTCCTTTTAATTTCATATGATTTGGGTTTTTTTTTGTTCTAACTCAGTTTGTTATACTATTTTTCTTGAGGCTGGTTGCTTGTATAAAAACGTCCACTGTAAATTCAAATGTGAAGGAATGGGATTGAACACATGAACACTTTATAAAAAGCTATTGCTGAAAGCTGAATGTTCATTGTTACAGATTTATGGAGTCTGAGATTCTATTAAACGATGCAGTACAAGAAATGCATGTAATAGCCACTGTGCCTGAACTTTATCACAACGTGGTGGACTTGAACGTAGTGCAGTCATTATTAGGATTATTGACTCATGAAAATACAGATATATCAGTAGCTGTGGTGGATCTGTTGCAGGAGATGACTGACGTGGATACGTTAAATGAAAGCTACGAGGGAGCGACAGTTCTCATCGATGCATTGGTGCGTAAATCTTTATATGTTGACTCAGGGACATATGAAGCATCAAAGAATCCAGAAACTCTTATTATAGATTTATTGTTTATTCCACCATGACCATTTTGTTCTACCCTACTTGACATATTGATACGATTATGTCATCAGATATGTAACGCCATTTCAAAAATATGGTGATAAAATAAGCTACCGGTAGTCCAAAAATGTCACACCCTTCTCGTAATTTTTTTTAATTGCACATGTCAACTTTCATCACATGAATAATTCCGTAAATTTTGTTGATTTTTAATAAATAAAAAGTATATCAGTGCGCATTTAGATTATGGTGACTGACAAAACAATTTGTTATAAACATTCAAATATGGCATAAAAATAACACACCTGGACCAGAAGGTTCCTGGCATGTAAGTACAATTGCTACTTCTAGTAAAGATGCATGTACGTGTCTATTGCAGCTGGATCATCAAGTGGTTGCTACACTGGTACAGAACATGGAAAGACTTGATGAAGGTGTGAAGGAGGAAAGTGATGGAGTGCATAATACGCTGGGTGAGTACTGCAAGACTGGGTCTGGATGAACGGAAGTTTGAAGATCAGCTTAGAATATTGACATGCGATATTGATAACTGACTTCTAAACATTGTATCCATGCCAAATAGTGCTCTCGTGTGAATCTCTAGAATTTAGCATATCATCACATGACCATAGTGCATATCATTCACAGTAGTGACGTTCAGTGTGAATTATCGCTAACTAATAGTTCACACGTAACATGGCAATATACCGGTACCGTAACCGTTAAATGTCATCACCACGAAGTCTGTTGGTATGTTGTGAAATCCAAATCATGTGACCGTACTGTTTTTATCACTGCAGTATGATGAAGTTAATTTAAAAAAAAAAAATCACTGAGTAGAGTAATATTTCTGCTGATTTTGAAAACCATTGGTGACTGTACCCGAAGATGCGTTCCCCGACCCACTTAGACATCATACTTACTGGGGGTAATTAGCATATGATTCATAAGATTTCTTGTAGGATTTTTAGGATTTTTCTGTCATTTTGATAGTTAGAGTTGGTCATGTGATAAAAGATTGTCCCCTGATATCTCTCATTCATAGAGCTAGTTGACACTTGTGGTGTCATAGACTGTATTATCCACTCACTTTCAGTTCATGGACAAACAAGTGATATCAGGTGATAATCTCATAGGTATTTTATTAATTTGGCATGACTTTTCTTGTTTTAGGAGTTGTAGAAAATATATTAGAATTCCGTTCCGAGGTGTCGTTTGAAGCGGCTAAGCAAGGACTGATGGCGTGGCTGTTAAAAAGAATCAAAGCTAAAATGATGTTTGATGCCAATAAACTTTATTGTAGTGAAATATTTGCCATTTTACTACAGAATCAGGATGGTAGGTTTTCTTTTTATTATTATATTCAATAAAAAACGTCAAGGCTTGATGTCTTCTGTATCTTAACAAAGGTTTTTATATCTCATTTGGTTTTCTTTACCTTATGTTTGTTTTGCCAGATACCAGAGAACTCCTTGGAGAACTTGATGGCATAGATACATTACTTCAACAGTTAGCTGTAAGTTTTCTGTTCATGTCTTTGGGAAATGCAATGTATACATGTATGTGTACTTGTACAGTTATTAAAAAAATAGTTACACCTCTGTCAGTTTCACAAATGAAGCATATACGATATTGAAGAATATCTGCCTAAAACTGCACATTCTTGATGATATACAAGTACCGTAGTTGTCCGAGTATAACCCCCCCCCCCCTCCAAATTTACAGCAATTTACAAGTCATTTATCCTATTATTACCTGTTGTTGTCAGAATCTTGTAAAGGTATCATAAACACACAATAAGTTAAAGTTACCTACTTATAACACAACGAGTTTGAGGCTAAACTGAAATCTTGGTGGTACGTTGTAGGTGTCAGCCACTTTGGGCTTTTTACAGAGTGTAGTCTATGTTACTATCATGTCTGAGGGACTTTTATTGAATATTGCATACTTCCTTGTTTGGCTTGCACCAAGACAATTTGCATAACAATGACAGTCTTCCTAATAAAGTTTCTCTTTCTGAAATGTTTTTTTTGCAGGCGTTCAAACGTCATGATCCGTCGTCAAACGAAGAATACGAAATGATGGAGAATCTTTTCAACTCACTCTGTTCAGCTTTGATGTTGACAGCCAATAGAGACAGGTTTTTAAAAGGTGAAGGGTTACAGCTCATGAACCTCATGCTCAGGTAAGGTATAAGCCCATGGTACATAGTTAGCGCTCTCTGGTGTCTGGATTATAACTTTTTTTATATATCCCAGATGCCCTTAGGTAATTCAGTTTGTCAGATAGCGCCCTCAGTGTTTGAATCCTAACTTTTTTCTATGTACTTCTGTAAAACGACTAATTTTCACTGGGTTTAAATTTTTCTGATTTAGCATTTCAGGCGTCTTCAGTGGGTTTTAAATTCACGGTTTTATCATTTAGATAATGTGTTCTATGCTTAATTTTACATATTCACTGGTTTTTAATTTAGCGCATTTTCAGCGAAATAAGCTCATGGGTAGATGCTTGTTTGTAAACAATAACATGCTATGGCTGTCTGACGCACGCACAGGTGACGACTCCCTCGCTTTAATGATTCTAATAATACTCACATACTTTTGCTTTGCATCAGGGAGAAGAAATTATCCAGGAACAGTGCTCTAAAAGTGCTAGACCATGCCATGTCAGGTCCAGAAGGAGCGGAGAACTGTATGAAATTTGTTGATATTCTCGGACTGAGAACTATTTTCCCATTATTTATGAAAACTCCCAAACAACATAAAAAAGGACCATCAGAGGCAGAACATGAAGGTATTGTGTAGTTAGAGGGGAAGGACAGTTGTAGTATATTTTTAGCCTTTGCAGACGAAGTCTGCCGAAGGCTTATAGATTGGGTTCTGTCCGTCCGTTCGTCTGTCTTTTACCTCTTATAACTTTGATAAGCTCCGTCCAATTTTTTTCCAAGTTGGTGCAAATGTAATTCTCAATGCCATACATATGCACGCCGAGTATTTTTTTGTTTCCTTGTGTTTTTCTGTGATTTTCAACATTTTACTAGTACAAATTTGCCGGAAAAATCTGAGTTTTAACGACATCTCGCAAGAGAACTGATATATTGTATTGCGCATGCGCCAGTCTAACCACTGAGGAAATCGGCGTCGATTTCGTCTGAGGAGATTGTATTCCGGGACTGTATCTTTCTTTGCACAAGGCTTATATAGATTAAATTCTATCTCAAAGGTAAGAAACTGTGCTTATGGTATTTATTATGAACTTTGATTTATTCTTTTGTGTCCTGACTTTGGTGAGAAACTAGCGATCGCACAGTGTCACACTTTGCCAGAAAAACAGTCCTGCTATTAGTTCAAGAACTGGTTATGAAACGTGTAAATCGAAAGTTTATCTCGTCATTTAGGAGGCTTGGGAATAACGTTTGGCATATAAAATACTGGAATAATAAAAACGTAAAAGTTTAGAACACGTTGATCGTGATTCTGTTATGCACGATTGCTATTTCCGGTGTTCATTGGTTTCGTGATGACATATTAGACTAGAATTATCGAGAAAACACAAGTCAAGTTCGGCCAACCGTGACTGCTTAAAGCAATGATGAAATTGAAAAGTACTGTAATTCAATATCAATGAATCTATCATCACTTTTAAATTACCTTTGAAGTAAATATGATACCAGAGTGCGTTACTACACTTGTGACCGGGACCTCCATGCTCCATGCGGTGTTGAAGTTTATCGGTAAATCGAACCTCTGTCAACAGAGACACATTTTCCCAATCAGCTATTTATTTCGGTACTGAAGTCAGGGTGGCAATTTCAATGTTTAGCTACCATAATTTATCTCCATTATGAGCAGGAAAATAAATTACAAACCTCGATTGAGATGGATTTAACGGTGGCCATGTTTTTAAGGGATATGTAAAACAATAGGGGTAAAATTCACGTAATCCTCAATTATAATGATGTTGACTTAATAGTCATAATTTTTTTTTTTTAAACTCCGGATATTATTTTATATATTATTTTAATACAACTACAATATGTTAATTAGTATGCAAATTAATATGCAAATTAGCAGCCAATCTGAGATGATGCAATCCAGTTCAACAGAAATTTGACATACACTTAGGATACATGATCACTACCTCTGTTTATTAGTTTTTTATGCACTTCTATCTGCTTTTATATTAAA